ATTTTTTTTTTTTTTTTTTTTTTTTTTTTTTAAATCTAAAAATTATATATAAATTACAATTAATTTTATTACATTTTAAAAAAATATCTCAAATTATTGGAATTTTTACCACTAAAACAAAAATCTATGAATATATATTATTTACATAATTTAAATCAATGTAGTAAAAAAAAATATTTAACTTGCATACACAATGTTGCTACAATTAAAAATACATATTAATTCAATGCAACTATCGTTAAAAAATATGCATAATATTTACATATTCAAAAAAAAAGCAATTTATATATATATATATATATATATATATATAAATATATATGTTAAAATGAAAAGAAAAATAAGATAATATAATTAATTTATCATAGAAAAAAAAAAGTTTTAACAAAAGTATAAATTTCAATAAGGAAAATAAAATATATAAAACATATATATTAAAATATGCTTAAAAAAAAAAATGGTCAAAAATAGATCTATTATTTACTAATTTTGAACAATTTTTATAATGCACCAAATTATACATGAACAAAATTGAACTGTCGAGTTATTATTTAGATAAAACCTTTTAAAATGGTTATTCATTAAATAATTAGAAAAAGAATCAAATAGAAATATATCCTTTTGTATTATTTAAAAATCTAATAAAAAAATATTATTTTAATATAAAAAAAAAAAAAAAAAATGATATATTTAATAAAATCGAAAAAGTAATATTTAATATTATAAAATCGACTTAATTATAGATTGAGCATTCAAAAAATATCGATAATGTTAATACTTAAATTTTGACTTTCAATAAAATTATTAAAATAGAAAAAAAAGTTAAAATTACTTTTTATTACTTTTTAAAGAAAGCATTTTTTTATTTTTGTTATTTGTTATGTAAAAAATGTTTGTTAATTTGAAAATATTTTTATTTTTATGTTTAAATAAAATTTTAAAATTAAATAGAAAAGATTGAAAAAAGAAAATTTGCATGATACCAAAATAATAAAATATATTTTTTTTTTTTTTTTGTGTGAAAAAAATACTTAATTTTTTAAATTTTATTTGTGATCAATAATATAAAAATGGATTTAAATAAAAATCTCGAGTTGCATACAGGCTACAAAATTGTAGAGAAAACAAAAGATAGTTTTGCATATCTCCTACATAAGCAGTTCGTTTAAAGAATATTTTTATCTTTCAAGAATATTGTTAAAAATTTGAATTTATAAAAATAATTATAAGATTTTGAAATATATATATATATATTTTTTTTATTTATATTATTTTTAATGCGATAAGATAAAAATGTTTTAAAGAATTACAAAAATTCCGAAAGTTTTTTAGAGTATTTCTTTAATTGTAGAATTTTGTATTTTTTTTTTTTTTTTATAGTTTATAGAAAGAAATATCTTTTTATTCCTATAAATAAATGTTTTATTATTATAACAAAAACATGTATGATAAATTTGTTTATACATTTGTAAGATGAAGGGAAGGATAATTAATATTTATATATGAAGAGACAATTAAAAAAAAAAAAAAAAAAAAATTTAATTTTTGTGCATTTGGTTGAATGTTTTTTATCATGCATTTATATGCAATTTATAATTAATTGTCTTTATAAAAAAAAATGTTTTAAATAACAAATTTTATAGAAGCGATGAGTTTTTTTAATTAAAGTTTTTAAATATTTTTAATTTAGTCCACTTTTATAGAAAAAAATTATTTTATGTAATTAAATAAATAATTTAAAAAAAAAAAAAAAAAAAAAAAAAAGTTTCATTTGTACATATTAACATTTTAATATAATGAATATAAATTTTATAAAATAATTATAATAAATAAATGATTTATTCTTTTTATTACTATTTGATAATATTTTTTTATAAAATTTAGAAAATGTATCTTACTTTTATTGAATATATTAAATATAAGGAAATATTTTCTTCTTTTAAATACAATATTAAAAAAACTGTCATATAAATTTGTTTTTAAATATATTTTATTTTTATAAATATATAATATATATATATATTTATATTTATATATATATTTATTTATAAATATATATATATATATTTTACATTTACTCAATTTTAATTCTTTTTTTTTTTTTTTTTTTTTCAGTATAAAAAAAAAATATTAATTATTATATATATATGTTCCTTTAAGTTGTAGATTAAATCTTTATTCATGTATTTAATTTATATATATATATATATATATATGTATAAATATATATCTTCAGATTATATAAATATGTAAAAAAAGAATTTTTCATGGTATTTAAATCTTTGATTATATAAAGAAAATATAATTTATATTTTAATTTTAATTTTTAAAAAATTCATAAGAACATATTTATGTATTCTTTTATATATATATATATATATATATATATTTATTTATTTATAAACATATATTTTACATATAGTACATTTCTAAAAGTACGATATAAAAAATGTTTTGATATAAAAAACATATATTTATTTTTTATTTATATGTATACATTTAAATACATACATATATATATATTTTTTTTTTTTTGTTATAAATATTAATAATTTTAGAATAGATTAAATTAAGAAAAAAGAAAAATTTAATAAAAGTTTCCTATAAATATATATTTATTTAACTATTTTTTTTTTTTTTTTTTTTCTTTATAGTTTTCTTCATGAATATTAGACAAAGATTATAATTACATTGCTATATATATATATATATTTAAAAAATAAAAATGAAAGAATAAATTATATAAATTTAAAATCAAATATAAATTTATTTTTTTCTCATATTTTATATATATTTATATTTTGTACAGAAGAAAAAATTGAAAGGAAGTAGAAAATAAGTAACGCTTCTATTCTTTTTTTTTTTTTGTTATAAAAAACATAAAAATTTATATTTTTTTTTTTTTTTTTTTCGATCCTATATATGAAACAATTAAATATCTATGTATATATGCATATGCTTTATTATAATTAGAAAAAAAAAGAATTATACATAAGTTTAATTCTCCATGCTGATATAATTTAAAACATTTATGAATACACATTTATATATATATATATATATATATTTCTATTTATTTCTATAATTTTTTTTATTTTCTTATATAATAAAAAATTTAATAATTTTTTTTTATTATTCCGTTATATTTCATATAAATGGCTGTAATTTTTTTTTTTTTTTTTTTTATAACATTAGAACTTTGTAAAATGAAGTTAATATAAAATGCTTTTTCTACATTTTTCTATTTCTTTAATTTTTTTTTTTACGTCGTTATTATAATTTTTTTAATAAAGAAAAATACTTTTCTTTAAATATTATTGATAATGTAAAAAAAAAAAAAAAAAAAAAANTATAATAAAAAATTTAATAATTTTTTTTTATTATTCCGTTATATTTCATATAAATGGCTGTAATTTTTTTTTTTTTTTTTTTTATAACATTAGAACTTTGTAAAATGAAGTTAATATAAAATGCTTTTTCTACATTTTTCTATTTCTTTAATTTTTTTTTTTACGTCGTTATTATAATTTTTTTAATAAAGAAAAATACTTTTCTTTAAATATTATTGATAATGTAAAAAAAAAAAAAAAAAAAAAAGTATATATATGCATTGAAAACAAAGAATATCTATATTTGTTGCTAACTTGTATATATGTTTATTAAATATGTTCTATTTAATTTAATTTATTAATATTTATCTTTACTATAATTTATTTAATTTTTAAGATTTTTCATAATTTTATTTTTAATAATGTAAATGATTATAATTAAAATTTGTAAATTTTCTTGTTTTTATAGGAATTTAAAAAGCATAATTTTTTTTTTTTTCTATTTATATGTTTATTTAAAGAATAACATAAGAAAAAAAAAAATTTTTACATGTTGTTGTGTTCCGCTTAGATCAAAACAATTATGTTTGTTTTAAAAAAAAAATAATAATAATAATAATAAAATAAGAAAGTAAAAATATAAATTATAAAAAAAAAAAGAGCATTTATGTAATTATTTTAATCTTCTAATAGCTTCAACATGCTTTAAAAATATATTATAAATAGAAAAATATATTTATGCATTTATATTTATTATAATATTAAATTTATATATATAACATCATCTTAAGTATTTATGTTATTTTTTTTTTTTTTTTTTATTAAAAAATATATTAAATAACTGAAATAAATAAAAAAGTAATGTGTAATTATTGTTTATATACATTTATATTATTAATAATAATATGACCATATAACTATTTAATTTCAAAAATAAATAAGAAAAAAAAATAATTTTATTTTTGTTAAACCATTAATGGAATTTAATATTAGTGTGAATATTTTATATATTATATTATAATATATGTATATATGTATGTATATATATATATATATATAGATATATTTTAAAAATTAAACAGTTATTATTTCTAGAATAAATCATAATGCTTGTCTTACAAGCTTTATTTTTATTTTCATAGTTTTATCTAAGTTTTTGTTTAATATAAAGAATAACACATATAAAATGAACTATTTTATTTAGTTTAATAATTATATATAAATTATTTTTATTTTATTTTTTTCTATTTATATTGTTTTTTAATTTATTAAAAAAAAAAAAAAAAAAAAAAAATAATTATGTTACATACTTTTAAGGTATCATTTTTCTTTTTTAAATCTTCTTTTAAAAAAAAAATTAACATTAGACATAGTAATTTAATTATCCTAAATTTAAAAAAATGAATATTATTTATAATGTTACAAGTATACCTGTAGGTAATAATTATATTCTGTGTACCTATAATTTTTTGAATTATAAAAGTTATATTTTTTACTTTATAAAGAAATTTCAAGTTTACATTTTCTTTAAAAATTTATATAATAAAATTAATAATAATTATATTTTTAAAGAAATAAATTACAATTATACAAATAATTATCAATATAATGAAACTATGTTTTCAGAAGAAGGCATGTATTTTATTTTTTTTTTAATTATTTATAGATTTATTAAATTTTTATATTTTTATATAACAAAAGAAAAACAAGATATGAATGGATATATAATAAATAGAAATGATTTTAACAATGAAATAAAAGTAGAGAAAAACAAAAATGATAAAAAAAAATTTAAAAATAAAGAAGAATTGGATAATTCTAAAGAAAAAAAAGAAAATAGTATAGAATATATTAAAAGGAAAAAACTAGATACATTTAAAAATGAACAAATTAATATAAAAAATGATATAAAAAGAATTGTAATACTAGAAATAAAAAAGAATAAAATGAATGAAATTTTATATTTAATGATGAGATATTGTTTGATTTATCGAAGAGTAAGTTTTTTTTTTAAATTAGGAAAATTTGTAAATTTTAATAATATTCACATTAATCTAATACATGATAGAAAAAAATATATAACAATTACAATAGACAATATAATATATAAAAAAATTTATTATAAAAAAATTTTAAAAAAAATTAAATATAACAATAGGTCAATTAAAGACATTAAATTAAGAAAAAGAAATTCTTATCAATTAAGAAATATAATAAATAAGCAAATTTTAAATAAAAAAAATAAATTTATCAAAAAAAAATATCTATTATATAAAAATTCGAAATTTTTTAGTATTATATCTTATATTTTTGTAGAGTTCGAAAAAAATTATAGGATATATAGGAATAATCTTCTCAAATGTTTGAATATTTTTGCAAAATATATACTTAAAATGATTTATTTTTATCGGAATTACACAATTTTTAAAGGAATAAATAATGCTTTTATGAAAAACATAAAAATTATTCATTTCTTGAAACATTTTTTTTATGAAAATAAACATATTTTAAAAAATTTGAGTTATTATTTTTGTTACAAAAATGTAATTAAAATTTTTCAAAAAATTTATATTAACAATTGCCTTATTCATTATACAAGTGAAGCAAATTATATTAAATGTAAGGATTTATATAATGAGAGTATTAATAAATATAAAATGATTAGTAACAATTATAAATATAACAAATATAATTATGTTATGAAATATATCTGCAACAATAATAATAATATTAGTAGTAGTAGTAGTAGTAGTAATAATAATATTAGTAGTAGTAGTAATAATAATATTAGTAGTAGTAATAACAATAATAATAATAATAATAATAATAATAATAATAATAATAATAATAATAATAATAATAATAATAATAATAATAGTAATAGTAGTAATAGTAGTAATAACAATAATAATAATAGTAATAATAATAATAATCATAATAATAATAATAGCTATAGTAGTAATAATAATAATAATAATAATAGTAATAGTAGTAATAGTAGTAATAATAATAATAATGGTGATGATGATGAAGATAATGATGATTTGAAGGATACAAAAAAATTTAAAGATTTAAATTATTTAAAAAAAAAAAAGAAAGAAAAAGAAGATGGAAAATATGTTTTTCTATGTAAGAAAAATATAATTAAAAACATCAGAAAAAAAGGAAAAGAAGATGGAAAATATGTTTTTCTATGTAAGAAAAATATAATTAAAAACATCAGAAAAAAAGGAAAAGAAAATATTTTTAAAATTATATTTAGAAAATATAAAAGAAAATTAAAAAGACATAAACACGATGAAGCTTTCTACATTACTTTAAAGAAGTATAAAAGATTATGTATGAACTTAAAAATTTTGAATAAAAACTTAAATAAAAGTGTAAAAATTAATAATAAGCTTAAAAGAATATTTTATGGAAATTTCTTACATAAACGTTGTTCATCTAACAAAAAAGGAAGTATTTTTTATAATGATTTATATACTAATGAAAAAATTTTATTCTTACTATTCCTTCTATTAAAACATAAAGATATTACTGAGAATTTAGTAATTATTAATAATAAAATTTATGATATTATAAGAAATAATAATTCTCTTATTTGTTTAAACTCATTGATAAATGAAAATGATTTTTATTTAAATAATACATTTAATTACCATAGCTATAAGGAATATATTTTAAATTATATTTTAAAATCATTATATAATTCAAATAAATCCTTTGAATTTAAAAATTTTGAAAAAAAGTTAAAAAGAATATATGGACTACATAAAAATAATTTTTGTTACAATATCTTTGATCATCAATACAAAAATAGTGATTATTTGGAAAAATTAAAGAATTTAAAACAAAAAGACGATGAAAATATTTATAAAACTGAAAATTTTGAAGCATTTAATAAGAGTTACTATGTAAACAAGGATACATTGAGACATAAAGAAAATGTAAGATTAAAAATAAATAATGCAATAAATCATGCAAATATTTTTAATGATGAAAATTCTGTTTATTTTTATGAATCTTCTTGTGAAGAAAACATAAATGGAAATTTCGATTATGAATTAAATAGCGACACTTTTAATAATAATTGTATACTTAAATATGATAAAAATTTAACTGAAACCAATAATAAATATAACAAAAATAATTTGGATGAAAATAATCTAAATGTAAAAATTTTGATTGAAAACAAATTTCTTAAAAGTATAAATGAAAATTTAAATGAAACGCATGATAAAAAATATATGAATGATCACTTATATAAATTTTTTCAAGATAGTCAGAATGAATTATTAACATATATAAGTATTCTAATAAATAATTATATTAGTAATATTAATAATAATATTAATAATAATAATTATTATTATAGTTCTTTTAATAAAAACAATAATGACAAAGAATATTATGATAAATTAAATATTAAATTAAAAATAGAAGAAAAGGATAATTCAAATTATGAAAATTTTAAAATAAATTTATATAACAAAATTATAAAAATTTTAAATGTACTAGATGAAATAGATAATTATATTGTAAAAAAATCTAATAATAATGTTGAAAATAAAAATTACATAAATAGTAACACCTTAATTAATATAAACAAAAACATTAAAGAAAGTAACAATATAAAAGATTCAGAAAAAGAACAGAGCTTATTAGATGAAGAAAATATGAATTTAAAAAAAAAGAATCATGAAGATAAAAAATATTTTTATAATTTAAGTATTGAAAATGATAAAGGAAACATAATAAAAAACATTGATATCTCTAATATAAAAGAAGTTAAAAAAAATAATTGCAATGTAAAAACAGATTATCCACAAAATAATAAAAAATATGAAAAAGATGAAAGTGAAAGAAGTTCTTTTAGTAATCAAATTAATTGTAAAACAAACACTAGGAATGATATGAAAATTAATTTGAAAAATTTAAATAATGATATATATATATATAATGAATTTAGTAAAGAGAATAATATTTATTTAGATAGGAACAATAATAAATGTATTGATGATTGTGGTGATGATATATCTTTTGATAAATTTAATGATAATGATAAAAAAGAAAAAAGTAATTATATAGATAATAATATAAAAAAAAGTAATGCTTATAATGAAGATGTAAATAAGATATACAATAATTTTAAAGAAGAAATAAACAATTTTACCAGTGATAATAATATTAATATGTGTGTAAATATTAATAAAAAAAATTTATCTAATTATTATCCTAACATTATAAACAACAAAAATGATATAAAAAATAAAATGAATTCAGTTAGTAAAAGTTTTGTTCTAAATAAAAATGGTAATGATAATGAATCTATTTTTAGTAGTAATATAAAAAATAATATGAATGAAAGTATTAATAATGAATGTAATAATAACGTTTGTAATTTTATAGATAATAAATTAACGAATGATGAAATTTTTTTAGAAAAAAACAATAATATAAATAATTTTGTAAAATTTCAAAAAGAAGACAAGTTAAATAGTTTGATGCATTTATATTTAAAAAATATGACAATATCAAAAAATGATAACATAATACACAAAAATGAGCAGGAATTTAAAAATAATACCTGTTCTAATATAAATATAGGAAAAAATATAGTTAATATAAGTTGCGAAAATTTTATAAGAAATGAAAATAAAAGTGATGATAGCATTCAAAACGAATATAATAATTTTTTATCAGATTATTCCCAAAACAAAATAATAAACAAATCAGATTTTAATATAGAAAAAAATATAAATGAAAATTTATTAAATGATGAAAAGTATTCTTTTTATATGCAAAAAAATTCAAATGAAGATAGAGAGGTATCTAATTTTTTGGGTTATTCTGAATGTTTTACTAAAAATATGAACAAAAATATGAATACTGATAATAACAACCTAAATAAAATTGACAAGGATAGCATAAAAATTAATGAAGACGCTGAATATTATTTAGAAAATAATAAGGGCAATAATAATTTTATAATTAATAATTATAATAATTATATAGATGATTTTAGTAGCACTTTCAATTGCAAAGATAATTTTAATGACTTTGATGAATTTAATGATAAAACAAATATGGATGATTTTAATGAATTTAATGTTGAAATTGATTTTAATGATTTGAATAAATATAATGACAAAATGAATTTAGATTATTTTAATGAATTTAATGTTAAAATTGATTTTAATGATTGGAATAAATTAAATGAAAAAGGCATTTTTGATGATTTAAAAATCTTTAATGATGTGAACTTAACAAATAATGAAAATAATAAAATAAATAAAAAAAAAGAAAAAAACATAAATTTTTATAATAGTGATACTAATAATTGTAATGATAAAAATACTAATAATGGTGATTGTATGAATGATAATAATAATACAAATAATAATTATTTTAAGATAAAAAATCCTAAAAGTGATGTTCACATAAAAATAGATTTGAATATTGATTGTAATAACTTTAATTTTAATACAAAAAATAATAATAAAATGAAAGAATATTATAATTCAAGTGAGGAATTATTAAGTAATAGTAGCAATACGGAGAGTACGATTGCAATTAGCTATGATAACAATAAAGCATATAAAGATGATATCACTAACAGTAGTAAAATATTAACCCAATTGGATAATTATGAAATAAATAAAAATAATGAAATTCCATTAAAAGATATAACATTGAATAATATAAGAAATTCTTTCAATTATGATTATGAATGTGAAAATATAAATAACAATGAATTGAGTGATTACTTAAATTTTAAGAGCAAAATAGATGTTTTTACTTATGTAGAAAATGATTTATTAAATTATGAGAATGAAGAAGATAAAAATTATATGTATACAAAACTAAATGAAATGAATATAAATGATAAAAATAATAAAATATTGAGTGACTCTTTAAATTCTTTTAAAAGATCAAATAATAGATCTAGAACATCACCACCACAAATGCATTATAATGATAAAGAAATGATGAAATATTTAGAAATGAATCAAGGAATAAATAATGATTATTTATATGTATTTGATATTAATAATATGTGTAATGAAAGTGATTTATTTAGTGAAAACATAAACAATGAAGTTTTTTATAATTTAAATACTATTAAGAAAGAAAAATATAACAATGAAAAAAAAGAGGAAGAAAAAATAGATGGAAAAGAAGTAGAAGAGGAAGTAAATGAAGAAAAAAAAAATGGTAAACAAAATAATAATAGAAAAGGAGAAGATGAAAATTTTTTGACCAATATAAAAAAAATTAAAGAGAATATAATAAATGAAGAAACAAAACAAGATGAAAAGAAACAAATAAAAGATGATAATAATAAAATAGCTGATAATGAAGATAACATGAATTTAAAAAAAAATGTTAATTTTACAAACACTTTAAATATTGTGAATGATAATGAAATTAATATTCAAAAAAATGTAAGATCAATTACAATGGCAGAAAATAAAATGAATAATGTAGTAGAAAATACAACAAATATGCAAGACATTTTACATATAAATGGGCAATGTAAACCATGTGCTTTTTATTATAATAAAAAAAAAGGATGCAGAAATGGAGATACTTGTGAATTTTGTCATCATATAGATCATTCGAATTTATCATTAAAACAATGGAAAAAACAGCAAAAGAAAATGATTAAGTTAGGTATTCTTAGTATTGATAATAAGTTAAAAAAAGAAAATTTAAATACAGCTTTAAATGAAAATAATAACTGTACTACAACTTTAAAAAACATAAATAGTATTATTTTAAATAGTGTTAATAATAATACTAAGTTAAATTTAAATAGTAATAAGGAAACTTGCACTTTTATTTTAAAGAATTCTAATAATAATAAAGTAAATTCTAATATTAATGATCTTAATAATAATGTAAGAAATGGAAATAATAATAACGATAATCAGAATAATGGTAACAATATTATTAATAACAATAATAATACTACAAACAATAATAACATTAATAATAATAAAAATACGAATATTAATAATAATAATGGTAATAATTGTAACACCAGTACGAATAATAATAACAATAATTGCAATAATAATATCACTAATACAAATATTAATAAAAATATTAATAAAAATAATAATAATAAAAATAATAATAATAATACCAATACATTATCTACTAATACTATAAATAATAATAACTGTACTAATAGTAATTATAATAATAATAGTAATAATACTAATAAGAATATAACAATTACTACTACTACTACTACTAATAATAGTAATATTAATCATACCATTAATAATTATAATAATAAGAATAATTTTAAAAATGATTCTAATACGAATAATACTAGTATAATTAATAACAACAGTAATAATAATTATAATTATAATAACATTAATACTACTAATAATAGTATTAATGTTAGTAATAATAATGAAGTTAATAGTAGTATCAATATTAGTAATGATATTATTACTAATAATATCAATAATACAAATATTATAAATAATAATAATAATAATAATACTAGTAACAATATAAATACGAATATTAATAATGATGAAATTATTGATAATATAAATATGAGGAGTATTAATAATAGTAATATTAATGATAATAGTATTATTATTAATAATAAAACTAATAATGCATATATTAGTAATGATTTAAAAATCAATCACATGAATACAAATAACATTAATAAAATAAATTGTAATGGCGTTAATTCAAATAATAATATAAAGAATTCATTCAATAATAATAAAATCGCAAGTTTAAGCATTAGTAATAATTTAAATAATAATTTTATAAATTCAAATATTAATAAATCAAGTTTAAATAATAATCGTATTATGAATAATAGTAGCAATAATTCTCATAATAATTTAATCTATTCTTTTATTCCAAATATAACGAGAAACTATTCCTTTGAATTGCATAACTGTTATAAAAAAAATGATACAAATAGTTTATTTAATAACTCTAATAATATTCATAACTATGTAAATGATGATGAAATAAAAAATACAAAAAATTTAAATAAGCAGAATCAGTCAAATAATTTAAAAAAATATATTTTTAATTATGATATAAACAAAGTAAAGTTTATGAATGATAATGAAAAGGAAAATGAATATTCTGTTGATCATTATTTAAGAGATAACAACAGGGGAAAGAATAAAAATAATAAAATAATAGCAAACAATAATGAGGTAGTTCAAGCAAATCATTTAAATAAAAATGATAAAAAAAATTTTAATTGTGATAAAGACTCTCATAATAATAGCTTAAATAACATTAATATAAAATTTAATAATTCTTGTTATGAAAACTTCTATAGAAGAGAAAAAAAAAACGCTAAAATTGATGAAGAATTAATGAAAATTAGTAAAAATGAAAAATTTATAAGTAAAAATATTGATTTAATAAATTTAAAGGATGATATGAATCCTATCAGTATCAACACAGATGAAAGTGTAAAAAATCATTTAAATAAAAAAAATAACATTTCTTCAAATAATTGTAATAATGAAAATGATATATTAAAAAAAAAGGAAATGAAAGAAGAATACAATGAGAAAAATTCTATATATTTAGATAAAAGAAAAAATAAATTCAATCAAAATATTGTAAATAACAACATAGTTGATGTATCAATTAATAAATTATTTCATCAATTAGATAATTCAAATATAAATTTAATGGATAATAGATTAAATAAAATAAAAGATAAAAAAAATAATATGATAGAAAATCTTCAAAATAATACTAACGGGAACATATCAAAGGAATCTATAAAAATAAATGGTAACAATTTAAATAAAAATAATAGAGAGGTATGCCACAATGTATATAATAGTGTTAATAAAATAAATGATATAATTAATTACTCAATTAATGATATGTATATTGAGAAAGATATTACAAAAAAGAATGTTAATATAAGTGAATATTATAATAATGATCATTTTAATCATGATTTTGATATAAATAATCATTTGAGTGAAATATTTGAGTTTAAAAAAAATATTCATCATAATGCTTTAGATAATTTAAATGATAACATAAGTCAGCATAATAAAATAAATCATTTAAACATAGAAAGGTTACGAAACAAGAATATTTATGCAAATAATTCAATAGTCTCAAATAATAATAATTTATCAGAGAATTTAATAAAAAAAGATAAAAGCATATCCGATCTTCTAAGAAATAATGTGAATACATCATCTGTTAGTTATATAAATGAAGAAAATGAAGGGAAATATTATTCTCTTAAAAAGAATATAAAGAATTACATAAATGAAAATATTAGTGAAGAGAATAAAAAAAATAATATTCAAATAAATAGCTTAAATAGTAATAAAATGCAAGCTAATTACGAAAAAAAAAACAATGAAAATTCATTTATGTTCATCAATAAAAATAATAAAAATTCTTATAATAATGTTAATCTAAATAGTAACTATAATTTATGTAATAATTATAAATCCGATAATATAAATATTGAAATATCCTCATCAATAGATAATATATTTTATAAAAATGATGATTTTAATTTTACCTACAGTGAATTAAAAACTAATACACACACACAAAAAAAAAATATGTCACAAAAAGAAAATAATATTTTTGAAGAGTTAAAAGATGATAATGATACATATACAAATAGTTATTTAATAAATAACTGCTGTGTTATTAATAATAAATTAGATATTAAGCCAATTAAAATTAATGGAAAATAAAAACAATTTTATGTATATATTTTTTTTATTTTTTTGTTTTGTTAATTTCTTGTTAATTTTATGTAAATATATATTATAAATAAAAAGATTAAAATCTTTTTTTTTTTTTTTTTTTTTTTATTTTCTTTTTTTTTTTTTTTTTTTTTTTTTTTTTCATTATTCATTTTTAATATTAAGTTTTAATTATATTTTTAACAATAAAAGAATGTTAATTTTTATCTATATACAAATTTTCTTTTTTTTTTTTTTTANNNNTTTTTTTTTTTTTTTTTTTTTTTTTTTTTTTTTTTTTTTTTTTTTTTTTTCATTATTCATTTTTAATATTAAGTTTTAATTATATTTTTAACAATAAAAGAATGTTAATTTTTATCTATATACAAATTTTCTTTTTTTTTTTTTTTAATTTACTTATATATATTTATTTATTTTTTCAATTTACTATATAACATTTTTTTTTTTTAGTTTAATGTTTCTAATATTTTTTTAATTTTTTTTTCTAAAAATTTGTGTGTATTCTTTCTTTTTTTTTTCCGTAGTGTATTTTTTAATGATTATTAATTTATGTAGAGAGAGTAATTTTATAATGTACAGATTTTTAATTTATAATAATATTATTATAATTGTTATTTTAATTTAATTTGTATTTTTTTTTTAAACTTTTTTTTGTTTGAAAATTTAACAGGAATTAAAATTATAGAACGATAAAATATATTTAAATTTTTTTTTTTTTATTTTATAAAAATTATAAATTGTGAAAAAAAACTAAAAAAAAAAAAAAAAAGAAAGGATATAATAAAATAAAATTCAAAGGTTAATAAAAATGTATAAATAAAATAAAGAATTTTTAAATATAATTTATTTTATGCTTCTCATTTAATATATTAAAACTATAGCATCTATTAAAAAGTGGACAGTAAATATAATTTTTTATATTGTTATTCTAAAATTTTTTTTTCTTTTTATTTAGAAAATTAAAGACGTAAATTTTTTTTAATTTTTTTTTTTTTTTTTTTTTTTTTTTTTTGGAAATCTTCAATAAAAAAATGTATTAAAAAAAAAGAAAATAAGAAGATTATATTCTCATTTTTCTTATTTATTTTTTTTTTTTATTCATTAAAGTATTCATGTGATAATTTTTTAACTACGTATTACTTTTTTTTTTTTTTTTAGTGTAGTAATTAATTAAGTTCTTAATTTTTCTTATAATTCTTTTATTCATATAGATGTTAATTTAATTTTATTNGTTATTCTAAAATTTTTTTTTCTTTTTATTTAGAAAATTAAAGACGTAAATTTTTTTTAATTTTTTTTTTTTTTTTTTTTTTTTTTTTTTTGGAAATCTTCAATAAAAAAATGTATTAAAAAAAAAGAAAATAAGAAGATTATATTCTCATTTTTCTTATTTATTTTTTTTTTTTATTCATTAAAGTATTCATGTGATAATTTTTTAACTACGTATTACTTTTTTTTTTTTTTTTAGTGTAGTAATTAATTAAGTTCTTAATTTTTCTTATAATTCTTTTATTCATATAGATGTTAATTTAATTTTATTTATTTCTATCTTTTTTAAATGACTTATAATTTTTTATTATAAGCTTATTTTCATTTTCATTTTTTTTTTTATAGTTGTATTTATATTTTTTCATTAATATATATAATTATATATATATATATATATATATATATATGGCTTACAAAAAAACTATAAAACTCATAAAAAGTAAAAATATGAATGTTTTTATATTTATAATATTACATGAAGTTTTATTATTTATAAGCATTGGGAGGATTTACTTGTGCTTATAAACAGTTTATTTTTATGTGAGTTTTATAATATTTTGTTAAAGCTTATCTTATATATATTTATATATATTTCTTTTTTCAAATAGTAATCTTTTATTTTTGTTTAATTTTATTACATTTTATTTTTTTATTTTTATTTTTATTTTTACATAATTTTTTTTTTTTTTTTTTTTTTTTTTTTATTAAATGCACAAATTATATTTTTAAATATTATTTGGTAATTATTTATATAAGATTATATGTTTACGTTTTTCTTTTTTTATTTATTAAATTTCAAAATTATTTTCTATGGGAACTGTACTTTTTTTTTTTTTTTTTTTTTTTTTTTTTCTTTTCATATTTCATTAAATTAACTTATATGTAAAATTAACGAAATAAATATTTAAGAATTTTTTTTTTTTTTTTATGTTTTATCATTAAAGAGAATATTATATATTATATATATATATTTCACATATAGTATTTTTTTTTTTTTTATAAGTATATTTTTCACATATTTAAAAAAATATCTTATTTAATATATGCAGCCATTATATTATTACTTATAATAACGTATAAGAAAAAAAATATATATTTTAATTAAAAATTAAGAAAATTTATTTATATACATTAAAAAAAAAAAAAAAGTAAAATGAAAATTTTATCTAAAACAAAAAAAAATGAAAAGAATAAAAACAAACAAAAAAAAGAAAAAGTATGTAGTAGACCTAAAGGGATTATAAAAAAAAAGTTAACTTCTAAAAATTTGAACAAAAAATTATCAAATAAAACTGATAATATTTTATTAGAATCTAATGAAAATTTAATTTTTAAAAAAAAAAAGGAAAATTTTTTAAATAACAAAGGTGAATTAGAGAAAATAATAAATAAAAATGATCAAATAAAAAAAAAAAAGTATTCGAATTCCTCGAAAAATGAAGAACTCCTAATTAAAAAAAAAATGAAAATTAATCATACTACAAATGTAATAAAAGAAGAAGAAAATAAAACAAAGGAGGATATTATAAAAAAAGAAGAGGTAGGGGAAAAGGATAAACCAAAAGTAAAAATAGGAAAAAAAAAAAAAAAAAAAAAAGTTAATAATATTGTAGAACACAAAAATTGTCATCCGTTAACAGAAAAAATTATTTTAACTACTAGAAAAAAGAAAAAAAATTTAAAAAGAGATGAAAAAAAAGAAATTGAAAAAAAGAAGCATGCATTAAATTTTGTTGTCAAAAAGAAAAATACTAATAATCTAAATGAAACAAATAATAAAGACAAAAAAATTGATGAATTTAACAATAAATTCACTGCTTCAAAATGTAATAATAGAAATACAAAAAAGCGATGTATGAATAAAAATAAGGAAGATAATATAAAAAAAAAATGTATTATTAAGGAAGGAAAAGAAAAGAAAGAATTTGAAAATAAATTCATAAAAAAAGAAAGAGAAACAAATATTAAAATTATTGAACATAATAAAAATATTGAAGCAACTCGAAATAATAATATTATTTATAATGATAAAAAAAAAAAAGGTAAATTAATTAATGAAGAAAAGAAAAATAATAAACTGGTTGAAAAAAATGAAAATATAAATATAAATAATATAAAAAATAAGTTTAATTTAATTGATAATAACAAAGATATATATGAAAATGAAAATTCATATAAAGATGATAAAAAAGACATATACAATAATGAAAAAGAAAATATTAAAATGACTTTTGAAGTAACAAATCGTTTTACAGTGTTAGGTTGTGATTGGGATAATATATCTAGTGTTGATGTATTCTACTTATTTGAATCATATTATAATTTTGAAAAAAGGAAAAAAAAAAAATTTGATTATAGTAAAAGTAGAGCAGTAAAAAGAGTAACCATTTACACATCGAAATATGGGGAAAAAAAATTAAAATATGAGGAAGAACATGGTCCTCTAATTAATTTTGATCTTTTAAAAAAAAAAAAGAAAAATGAAGAGGCAATATATAGAAAAAATGACTTACTAGATTATATAAGAGATGAAGATGAAGATGAAAATGATAAGTGTAAAAAGGAAAAACTCTTAAAAAAAAAATCAAATAAAATGAAATTAAAAACAGATATGTATAATGTTGAGGATATTTACAATGATGAAGATGAAGAAAAAGAAAAAGAAAATGAAAAAATTAGATTATATCAAATTCAACGATCAAGATATTATTTTGCTTTAGTAGAATGCTATAATAAGGAAATAGTAGAATTTTTATATGAAGAATTAAATGATATGGACGCTGACTTTTGTATAAATTATTTAGATCTTAGAATAATTGATGACAATTGCTCACTTGATGATTATAAAATAAAAGAATATTGTGATAGAATTCCAGATAATTATAAATTTTATTATTGCGTTACAACTGCTCTAAAGCATACATATGCAAAATCATCATGGGATGAAAATCCTAAAAGAAAAAAAATTTTATCAACGAGATTTACTGAAGAAAAATTAAGAGAATTAGATTTAAAGGAATATTTAGCTAATTCATCTAGCGATGAAGAAAATTATTTCAATGATGATTATTATAATAATAATTTATCGGAATCATTTAACAAAAGTAAAAGTTATACCAAAGAAGATTATAGAAAAATGCTTTTAGGAGATTTACTGAATGATGAAGATTTAAAGAATGAAAAATCATATGATCACAATCAATCCATACAAAATAATTTTCTTGAAGAAATAAGTAGTGATGAAAGAAAAAAACAGAAAAAATTAGATAATAATGAAGAAGATTTTTATTATTATAATGAAACAAAGGAAGAAATAGAAGAAAAAAATAACAAAAATTTACTGAATTCAGAGAAATGCAAGAAGATAATAGATAAAAATGTGAAAATAAATGATACAAATCAAAATACATTGAAAAGTTTAAATAGTATCAAAAATAAATCTAAATACGAAAAAGAAAATTTTGAATGTGACGATAGTGATAAAGAAAATGAAGTTATACAAGTTTTTAAAAATGTATTAATAAATAAAGAACAAAAAGAAGATAAAAAAAACCCATGGGAAAAATATTTAGACAAGGTTAAAATGAAAAAGAAAATGAAGAAAAAAGCATATTTAGAATCGTTGAAAAAAAAAGATGAAGAAATTAAAAAAATAATAGCTAAAAAAACAAATAAAAGAAAAAAAGACCAAAAAATAAAAAATAAAGTAGATCATAACACAGATGAAATATACGAAAGTCATATGGTAGATAATAGATTTGCAGATTTATATAAAAATAAAGATTTTAATTTGGATATAACAAATCCTAATTTTAAGAAAACTAAATTTAATGAAAAAATTCTTCAAAAAAAATTATAAAAAAAAAAAAAAAAGAAAGAATTTATGTAAATAAACTAATTGATTAGATTATCTAAAATTGTAAAATAATATATTTGAGTACTTTGAGCAATGTTAAAATAAAAAAAAAAAAAAAAAAAGAAAAATAATAAAAATATGATTTATAAAGAAATATATATTTTTATTAATTTATTTTTTTTTCTTTGAATTTCACTATCATTTATTATTTGTTTTTTTTTTTTTTTTTTTTTTTTTTTTTT